GGAGAAGGGGTTTGAATTGGAGGCACAGTGATGACTGGGGAGGGGAGGCCCGAGCCGGGAGCAGTGTTTTGACATAGGGTGAAGCATTTGTTATAACTCACCCTCAATGATGTTACGATACGGCATGTAAAACGGGTGCTTTGTTGTTTCTCGAGGCCTGGCCGCTGCCGTGTCCTTCCCTCTCTTACTCCAGGCCTCCCTGTCGCTGCCGGGGCTGCCTGAAGCCGACTGGCCCTCAGCGGCCAGCAGCCAGCACGCAGCCACTCCACCCTCTGTGCTAGTACCACGGAGGGACCGAGCCATGTCACCTCCCACTGTCCAACAAGACGACTTCCAAACCCGGCTGTGCATGAGGATTGCCTGGGGACCTTTTCATATGTAGCTCCCTGAACCTATTTCATACCCAGTCAGTGAAGATCTCCAGATAGCGGGACTCTGGAAACTTTTAGAACACCCTGCGTAGTTCTGATTGTCAGTCCTGGAGAGGAACCAGTGTGTTGCTCAGTTGGTTTAACTGATTCCAACAGAGCAATTTATAAAGACACACACACACACACACATTCACACACACACACATGCATTCACACACACACAAGTCATAACTAATCAAATCATTGGTTCATTTAATCTAGTGGATTTTAGCTCATGAATAGCACCTGGGCACTTTTGGAGGAAGACTATAGAGATTAGAGAGATAACAAAAATATTCCTGGTTTCTACATAATAGCTTAATTGGATATGTACACTGTTGTTATGGGTTTTCCCCAGCCCTCTGTTGAATCTATAATAAAAGACACTCACGACTTTTACCTAAATACATGTCTAGTAAAAGTGAACAAAGCTTGATAGTTTGCCTGTTATTTTTTGGGGAAATCTACTTCCTAATGTTTACTTCAAAGTTTCCTTAAATTTGCTAAGCCTGAGACTCATGAATTGTTTTATTCAGTGTAAGAGAGAGGATGGGAGTCTACGAACTTGGTTCTAATCTTAAATCTTTGCTTTGCCATTGGGAGGCCTCAAGAAAATCACAATTTCCTTTCTTGGCTTTTCTTCCCCTTTTGGGATGCTTGGTCAAGATGGTCTCTTATGTCCCTTGGGGCTCTCTATTCTGCGATAATAATCATCTAAAAAGTAACTGCCAGTATGTGTTGGCCACTGTCCTACCGGTGTTTACCATTTAGGTAGGGCAACAGGACAACTCCATGACAAGATGAGTGACATGCAGCACAGGAACTAATTGGTGCAGAGCAGAGCAGAGCAGACATCTCTAAGATCATAGATGGGGTGGGTTGATAAAGAATGTCCTTAGGGTAGAATTAGAACTGGGTCAGGGGCATAAAAAAGGGGGATTTAAGTAGGGGAAAAGGAGTGGGGAGGGCATTCTGGGCCAAGTGGGAAGCATGGAAGTTGGAATACACATGCACTGAGCTCAAGCTTTGCATCCCGCATGAAAGTCAGACTGAACCTCCCCATAAAGTAAAACTCCCTCTCTGCATTCCCAAAGCACGCTGTAGTGACCATTATTATGGCACTTAACACTATTTTTTCCTGTGTTTTTTCACCTTTGGATGGCAGGATAATTTTTCATTCACCTTTATATTGTCTAGATCCAGCAGAGACCTTGTATCCAGTAGATTGAGTACCTAATAAATATCTATTTCATTAATGGATAAGAGAGACGATGAGAATACAGGGGAGGTCAGGCTGGTGTAGTGAAGGTCGTGGCACATCACTCAGGTTGCCCATGAGGGACCAAGTACTCATCCCCCCAGCTATAGGGAGTGTTGATGGTGATGGCTTTCTGCTCAATCACTTTCTGGGAATGGCTCTCAGCTAAAGAAATCTGTCTCAAGCTAGGTCAGGTGTCCTCCCCAGGAGGGGCTGGTCAATACAGGAGTATAAAACCTAAGTCTTTTCCCCTCAATGCAAATAACTTTGAAGGGCTGTGACAGCTCAAGAGCTCCGTGTGGAATAGCCTGGTATCTTTGTTGAGTGCACTGAAGTTTGGCTTTCTCCTCTGCTCCGTCCTACTTTTTCATCACCCTAAGAGCACACTCCATTAAATTTCTGGTACCCGAATTTCCACCTAGAGCCTGCTTTTCACTCAGAGAATCCAATATAAGACAGCTGGTGTGGGAGTTTAATTTTGGATACGATAGAACAGCGATTTTCAACCGCTGTGCCGCAAGCATTTTTAAAACATGCAGTTCCTGGCTATTTAGTCAGGGGCGCTGACCTCTTTTCCCTTAGATTGTCAAATGAAAAAATGACAACAGCTAACACAACAATAGCTGTCAGTGTTCATGAATCAAAATTACACCTATTTTTTGTCAGATCGGCAAAAAATATAATACATTTTTGGGTGTGCTGCGGAATTTTAGTGATTAGTTTATCTGTGTAATGAGATGAGAAAGGTTGAAAATCACTGCGATAGAGGGTAAGTTTGCAACAAGCAGGCCTTGAGCCCAAATGACAACTTTGTAATTAGAAGAAGTTGCCCTTACCTATCGGTCAGAGAATTATTGCCCTAAATATACAAACACACATTGATTATAAAGGTGGAGCACTCCCACCACTGAGCACTGCTGTACAAAGGAGCCAGTAGATAGAAAAAACGTCAACCTGGAGTGGGAAGGAAGATTTGTGCCGGGCTGTGAAGGGCTTTACTAACAAATCTGGGGATTTTATCTTCTCAATGCTACACTCTCATTTTTGTGGAAGTTCAAGGGCTTTAGCGAGATGCTAGCTTTTAAACCAAACTTAAGAAATGATTCTTTTCATAGACACTATATGGGAATTTGCTCTCAGGCTTCAGCTCCATAACATCCCTGAAATATATCCCCATGAGTTTTTCTGTGTAGTGTTAACTGCATTTTATCTGTATTTAGCAGATTTCTCGTGTATATTTGTTCACTGGGAAACATCTTCAGCAGAAGGGAAAAATCTCCTAAATATGGTCTCTGGGACTTCTCAAGCTACACATTACACCGTAAGTAAGTTGAACACTTAGCCCAAGGGTGGCAAGTGTGATATAACACCAGCACCCACCCACATCTGTGCAGAAAATGAGAGTTTTCATTTCTCAGATTTGGTTCCAAAATAAGTCTTCCTTTGATTTCCCTAGGTTTGTTAATTTAGGCATATAGGTATTCTGTGATTCTTTCCCTATATATTAAATCACACAAAACTAGCATGTATCTTATGCACCTGCCAGTCAATTGTTAAGGTCAATGCTTTAAAGATTGATTAGCACAGAGTTTACCTTATACGCTTTTATCGAACACTCGCCATACTGAGAATCTTTCAATTGCTTTCTATTTTTGTACTTTCACCAATAGAATTTTCCCTTTGGTGCCTTTTACTCGGCATCCTTCAAATCTCCCGTTCCAGTGAGAGGAAATAAGTATGCCCTACCATCAGGAAGATAACATCAGCAATAGAACAACCACCATAGATCAGCGGGTGCCTTTTTCCTTTGCCAATATGCTTCATTTCGATAACAGAAGGATTTGGCCACCTTGCTCAACCCAATTTAAACTTCACAGAGGGTCATAAACTAGTAATGAGAAACTGGATTTTCACAGTTGCATCCTGGAGGGAATTTTTTTCCAGCCCTAATCTGTTCCTTTGGTCATCAGCCTCCATATAATGGCTTTTCAATAGCCCAGTTATAGATGCATTGCATCAAAAAGTATAGCTTCTGTGGGATTCTTGCCTAATGTGCAACAAATAAGAATTTTATTATCATTCCAAGTTTCCCTTTTCAATGACATCGTGCCACCTAGTAAGTTGCCTTTATGGGCACATGAGTGAAAGGACCTGGCATGTGGATTTCTCAGGAATCTCTCACCTTCCAAATGTGATGAATATGGGAGCTCAGGAGGAGTATGTTATCTTTTATAATCTCAACTAATATTTAAGTTTATGTGCTGAAGATGTGGGTGAGGACATATAGATATGCGTCCTTGACTTTAATATATGATTTAGAGATTCATGACCACTTCAAACATAGTGACATGTTTCAAAATGAGAGAGCAAGTAGTATTGTCTCTCCAGTTCTGTTTCTTGCTGAAAAAGTCCTTATTCCACCTGAAGTGACCATTACACTGATGGAAGACACAGTCAGTGATCAGCTGCATTTTCTCCCTCTGAGGTTACAAACTTTCTGGACAGAAACTTTTTCTAGTGATGAGAAAGACATCTAATTGAGTATTAAAGCTGAACTTTGGTACGGAGACTAGACCTCAATCTTGGTATAGGAAACAGGATCCAAGCAAAAAACAAAACACTGCCCTGTCTCCATCCTAATTGGTTGTGAAGTGGAAAAGGCAGTTAGATATCTGAGAGTCGACTTAGCCAGGGACAAAATGAAAGGAAACATCTCCTATCAATAAAGAGGGGAGAGACTTTCTACTAGGCAATAACTGTCATCAGCCCTACCTCAACTGTCATTTTTACAGAAACCAAAAGCGCAAAACCTGTAGCTCATTATTACAACAGATAATTTAGGCTGTGAATTTTGCAGGTGTCTCAAAGTAAAATGCAATCTGCATTAATTAAAATACTCCTGCTTATAATTATGCCTATGATGATGAGTTCAGGAGAACAAAAGCTACTATGAAACAAATACTGCAAATATAATTAAACAAAAATAAAGGCTTTGCAGACTCAGATTGCTTCAAATTATTTAGCTAAATATGCACATTCATGTTTATGTTTGTTTACTTACAGTTTCTTCCTCATGGATTGTTACAGCTCCCTAATATGGTATTCTTCCATAATCAAGCGTTTCTGCAAAGCTCAGCTGTTCCCTAAAGCTTTGCAGAAGTTGATGACATTTTCCTCATGCTCTCCGCATCTGTGGCCCCGGCTTTTTAGCTTACACCTCCTTCATTCACACACTAGTTTGTGGTTTTACCAGAGTTCTGCCTCTGATCTTGTCCTCTTGCTTACGTGTCTTCCCTGGGCAATACCTTTTACTTCAATAAAGGAGCACTAACCTCTAGTCCTGAATTGTCATCCTCAGCTCTGCCCGGATGTCTTTGGACCTTGACACTGAACATGTCTGCTGCTGTACTCATGACGTCTGCCCCCCCAAACCTGCTCCAAGTTTTGTCTCCTCCACCTTGGCTAATGATGTGATTAGGAATTCTTCTTCCTTTCCTTCCACTGAGCTTCCAAACAAATCCAGTCAAAAACAGACAAAAGACATGAGACATTTCACTGGATGGCATATGCCCACAGAAATTCAACATCATTAGTCACGAGGGACGTGCAAATTAAAACCACAATAAGATTTTACTACATACCTGTAAAAATGGTTAAAATAGAAAACCAAAACAATAAAACAATGACACCACCAAATGCTGGTGAGGGCGCAGAGAAAGTAGATCGTGTGCACGCTGCTGGGAATCTACAGCGGGACAGCCACTCTGGACAACAGTTGGGTCGTTTCATTTAATACGGTCTATGCAGCTACCACAGGACCAGCAATTACACCCTTGAGCATTTATCCCAGATAAATAAAAACTACGTTTGTACAAAAATGTATACACAAATGTTCATTACAGCTTTGTTTGTAATAGGCCCAAGCTACAAACAACCCACATGTTCTTCCACAGGCAAACGGTTAGATAAACGGTGGTATGTCCTTAGGAAGAAACACTGCCAGCACAGCAATGAAAAGGAATAGTTGCTACATGCACCACTGGATGAATCTACGGGGAATTATGCAGAGTGAAAAGAAGCCAGCCCTAAACCTTTATGTAATGTNACATGCACCACTGGATGAATCTATGGGGAATTATGCAGAGTGAAAAGAAGCCAGCCCTAAACCTTTATGTAATGTATGAGTCCATTTATAGAATGTTTTTGAAATGATAACACTATAGAAATGGAGAACAGAGTAGCTATTGTCAGAGATCAGGAGGAGAGGGGCAGGGGGAGAGGCAAGTGGGTATGGTTTATAAAAGAGCAATAGAAGGCACCCTTGTCATGAAGGAATTGTTCTGTATCTTGACTGTAACAATGTCAATATCCTGGTTAAGATTCTCTGCTATAGTTTTGCAAGATAGAGTTATCATTGGGGGAAACTTGTAAAGTTATACAGGCTCTCTCTTTATGATTTCTTATAACTGTATGTAAATCTACATTTATCTTAAAATAAAAAGTTAAATCAAAACAGTAAAAAAAACACACACCTAAGGGTAATGTCTAATGGAAGAAAATATATATGTNATGATTTCTTATAACTGTATGTAAATCTACATTTATCTTAAAATAAAGAGTTAAATCAAAACAGTAAAAAAACACACACCTAAGGGTAATGTCTAATGGAAGAAAATATATATGTAATTTCCAAGCGAGCAGCAAATACATACATAAGTAAGACCAAGAATATTTAAAACTTTATCAGTTTAACAGAAGCCAGGAAAAGAGAAAAAAGAAAGCAAGAATAAATATCTAGCTTCACACACACACACACACACACACACACACACACCCTACATAAGTACATGCATACACACATACTACAGTGAATAAAAATATAAAATAAAAGATCACAGTTTGTCCAATAAATAGAAATGTATTCAGTTCATATACTAAAGGACAGAGAGCTCCTTCAGATTTCACATTTCATAAAGGGGAAACTGAAGCACATGGAGCCTAAATGACTTGTGGGTGTTCTAAAGCAAATTGGATCCAGGGTTCAGACTGAAACCCAGTCTCCCTAATTCCCATGCTCGCATACTGTAAATAAAAAACTTTTACCCCAGAAATGAACTACTCCACTGAATATATCCCAGGGGACTTACTGGCATGCCTTGCGATATCCTCAAATCATAAAAGAAGTGAAATGTGCCTGAAAATGGAATTACATTTCTCTCCTGAGCAAAGGCTCTTCAGTATTTCAAAGGTCATTTATTTTTCAATTTTGCCTCTTTTCAATTTCTCAACATGTGGCTGAGGGAACCTGAATCTGAAACTGGTGAACATGATTACTCAAGCAGGCAGCCAAGTTCCTCACTCTCAACCCTCTAAAGCAAAGTGGCTTTCCCAGTCCTCAGGGCCAGGTTGGTGGCGTCTGATCCTTGACTGACTTCCACCTTGGACCCCTGAGGAAGACAACATCATAAATCACTTGATCATTAAATAAGAGTGATCAGGGGGCCTATGTCTTAATTAGTATAACAGCCATACCCTTGTTGTATTGTATTTCACAGACACACACACACACACACACACACACACACACACACACACACTCTGAAGGTTTGTGGCAATCCTGCGTTTTTCCCTACAGCATGTGCTCACCTCATGTCTCTCTGTCACATTTTGGTAATTCTTGCAATATTTCAAGCTTTTCCTTATTACTATTTGTGTTTTGGTGATCTGGGATCACCGATCTTTAGGAAATTGTTCACAAAAGCAAGAGTCAATTGATGCAGCCAACTTCACTGTTGTCTTACAGGAAATTGCCACAGCCACTCCACCTTTCAGCAACCGCCAACCTGGTCCAACATCAAGGCAGGATCCCCCATCAGTAAAAAGATTATAGCTCACTGAAAGTTTAAATAATGGTTAGCATTTTTCAGCAATAAGGCGTTTTAAATTAAGTAGGTACATTGTGGTATTTTTTAGATATAATGCTACTGCACACTTAATAGACTACAGTATAGTGTAAACATGATTTTTGTAAGTACTGGGAAACCAAAAAAAATTGTGTGACTTGATTTATTGCAACATTGGCTGTAACGTGGGGGTCTGGAACTAAAACCTCAACCTCTCCGAGGTACACCAGTATTCTATTTCTTTCCCTATCTTAAAAATAAGTGAAGGGATAAAAATAAATATTATCAATTCTAGAGGCAACTACACTGATTTGGAATCAGAAGACCTAGGTTTGCATCCCATAATTGCCACTTCTGAGCTGTGATCAAGAGGGAATTATTTCTTCATCTGTAAAATGTAGAGCTATTAAAATTTCCTAAGATTGCGAGATTCAATGAAACATGAAAGCCTCTGGTCTTCAATAGGCATTTAATACATTAAAAAAAAATGAGTTTGAATTATTTTGAAAAGACAAATGTAGTAGTAGTGGAACTACTTGATTACTATAAAATTATTTTCCCATGAAAATTTCAAGTCAAGTGTTTTTCTTCCAACATACATCTTTCTGGGAATGTTTAACCCTTTATTGTTATTAATAACATCTGACAGTTTTAATAGATGCCAGAAGATGCTATGCTGAGCAAAAGAGCTGTTGACCTAGAATAAGTGTTGAGCCAAAGTACTATTATAGAATGAGGCTGAAATAAGGACATTGAGACTGACAAAGACCGAGTTTACAGTTCATGAGTTCCATGAAAGAACTACTAAAGCACACACTTCAAGAACAGGATAATGAACCTAACAAAGCCAGTGCTATGCAAGAAGCAATAGTGAGCAAAAAAATCGATGAGCATGTCATCCAAATAAGCAGTTGCTATAAAAATACTAGTTACTAAGTTGTGGTCATTGTAAGTAAGGTGGACCTAAAGTACTAGACAAACTTATATGGAAAATGGAAGAGGGATGATTGGAATTAAAGTGCAAAGGACTTTATATAGTGTTTGAAAGGAAGGTAAATATAGAAATTAAGTTCAGATTTTTAAAATAAACTACAAATGTAAAACTTTAAGGCTAACTACTGAAAGACCAGAAATAGATACATAACTGCTTATCTAGCAGAAAGGAAACGAAAAGTATAAAGAAAACTGATGAATCTCATAGAAAGCAGGAAAGGAGAAGATGGGAAACAAGGAAAGAACAAGGTAAACAGAAGAAATAAAAAATCTATCATCTTTATGTTTTGAGTAATTCCATATCCACTTATTAGATAAAGACATGAGGGGAAGGATGCTCATCTACCTTAGGATAATAACTACTTCTGGGGAAGGATGGAGAAAGTGGGATGCAAGGGTGCTTTAGTGATGTCAATAAAGTTTTATTTAAAACTATCTGAAACAAAAATGACAAAATGCTGATATTTGTTCTATCTTGGCATAAGGGTATCTGTTATATTATTTTCTGTTAATTTGAAATATATGATAATAAAAATAAAAAACTAAGTGTTCACAAGGGCATATGTGTGCAAATTAACAAAAAGAAAATCTATTGTTGCAAAAAAGGTAAACAAAATAAATACTAGATTTATAAAACAGTAAAGTATGATAGGTGCTTTGGGGAAAGTGCCAATGGTGAGTTCAGAAAGCATAATCTGCACCATTTTTCTTGTTATCCACCCTCCATTCTGCACCATTCCCTCCATCCTTCAGGGACCAAGTAGTAGGCCCCAGAGAAACTTCTGTTTGGTCTAACATAGATGATTGGAAATAAGCAAGATACTGTTTTCTGGAGATTTTTGAAAGAATTAGGACAGCTTTCCTGGACTTCTCTACAGTGAATTGATGGTGGAGAAAATCTTTAAAGATTACAAATTGACCTGCCATTTGACCCAGTGATCCCACTTCTTTTTGCAAAGAACTTATGCACCCCTATGTTCATAGCAACGCAATTCACAATAGCTAAGATTTGGAAATAGACCAAGTGCCCATCAGTAGATGAGTGGATAAAAGCTGTGGCACATTTACACCATGGAGTACTATGTGGCTGTGAAGAGGGAAGACCTTTTGGCCTTTGGCACAGCATGGAGGGAACTAGAGAGTATTATGCTAAGTGAAATAGGCCAGTCAGAGAAGGACAAGTACCACATGATCTCACTTATATGTGGAATATAATAAACAAAATAAACTGTTGAACAAAGTGGATCCAGTAACATAGAAGCTTGCAACAAACTGAAGGATCTCAGAGGGAAGGCGGGGAGGGGGATGTGGGTGGGAAGAGATTAATCAGGGAACTTGTATGTTTATGGGCATGGCCCATGGACAGGGACATTGGTGTGGGGAAGGCCTGGGGGTGGGATGGATGTGGGTTGGAGGGGATCAGTGGGGTTAAAAGGGGGATGCCTGTAATGGTCTCAACAATAAAGATAAAGAAACTTAAAAAAATAAAGAGGAAAGAAAATGAGGCTAAAATGTGATCGAAGAGACCTCCAGTTCTCCTGCTCACCACCTTTCAATTTCCCTTCCCAGCTCCTCACCTCAAGAAACACTTTAATAGATGTAAGAACAGT